ATTATTATTATTATGAAAAAGAAAAATGAAAAGAAAAGAAAAGTTTATAAAAATGATTTAAAATTTGTATTTTCGATTCGTTTATTCCTCCTCGCTTATTAATAAGCCTTATTATTATCATTATTATTATTATCATTATTATTATTATCATTATTATTATTATCATTATTATTATTATTTTTTTTTTTTTCATTAAATTTCCACCGGATTGAATTCGAACGTGAAATTGAAAATTTTTTTTTTCTATGAGAATTTAAATTATTATTATCATATTTATTAATAATATTATTATTATTATTTATTTCCTGTTCGTGTCGAGAGTTTCCGTTTCCGTTTCCGTTTTTTTTTTTTTTTTTTTTTTTGGAAAGTTCGAATAATCAAAAATTAAAAAGAAAAAAAAAAATTGAATTGTTTTTTTTTTTTTTTTAAAAACGAAAATCGTGTCAGGAGAAAAAAAAAGTAAATTTCCGTGCGACGAGGGAAAAATAATATTATTATTATCATCATCGTTTCCCCCCCACTTTTTTTTTTTTTGCTTTTCCTTAATAAAAATGTATACAAAAAAAAAAAAAAAAATTATAAAGTTAAATTGCGAAAATGTATATGATGAAGAAAAGTAATTGAATTTTCTTTTTTCTTTTTTTTTTTTTTCAAACGTAAAGTTATTATTAATTTAAAAACAAAAAAATGGGGGGCGAGGAGCGCGAGGGTGCGCGGGAAGGGGGAAATAAAAAGAAAAAGTTTAAACGACAAAATTAATGACCATAAACAAACAAAAAAAAAAAAAACATTCATTTTTTTTCCCCGTTAATATTATTACCCCATAATAAATAAGTAAATTGCCCACCCTCCCTCCCCCCCTCGCTTTTTTTTCTTTTAAACGTTACCTCGTTAAAAAAATAAAATTTCAAAAAAATGGCGCGTAAAATTTTTCTATTTAAATTTTTTTAACGGCGACTTCGCCATTCGTTCGATTTGAATTCTAAAAGTGACTTTTCCGATTATTTTCCGGAAATTGTTACCGATCGTAAATTTTCCCTTTAACTAATATATATATATAGAAGAGAAAATCGCGAGTAAGAAAAATAGTAAATTCAAAATGGCGGATTTGTTGTCATTTATTATTACGTAAATAATTCAAAAAGTGACAGATGAGGGTGTTCCCCTTTTTTTTTTTTGTTACGTTAGAACCCATATGAATAATAATGATGATGATGATGATGATGATGATGATGTTGATGATGATGATAGTAATAATAATAATAATAATAATAATAATAATAATAATAATAATAATAATAATAATAATAATAATGGCTTTTTTTTAAATACATACATTTTAAGTCTGATTAATATTATTAATTATTTATAAAATTAACGTCACTCAATCTTCTTTTCCTTTTTTTCCTTTTTTCCTTTTTTTTCCTTTTTTTAAAAGGAAATATTTTGGAAATAATAATTTCTTTTTTTTTTTTTTTAAATATAATATTTTATTTACTTTTTAAATTGAAAAAGTTTTTATTTTAAAAGAAGAAGAAGAAGAAAAAAGGTTAAAGTGTGAAACCTTTTTTTTTTTTTTTTGTCGACAAACTTTTGTTTTCTTTCACTTCCTTTCCTTTTTCCTTTCCTTTTCTTTCTTTCCTTTTTTCTTTTTTTTTTTTGTTTTTGTTTCTTTTTAATCTTTTTAAATTTATAATCAATGTTTTTGATGGCTAATAAATAATTCTTTGTTTCTTTTTTTGTTTTTTTTTGGGGGGGGGAGACGGGGAGGGGATGAAAAATAAATTTTTATCTTACCTTGATCTTCCAGGACTTTTATTATCGGAAAATTCATCTTTTTTCCCGTGATGAGTGATTCTACTA